GAAGCTTTGCCAGGAGCTATGCTCCTTCACGGTTCTTGTCATTCTTTTAATCCAGAGCAGTTGAGGGCCCAGCCCCAAGAAAGGACAGACAGCAAGAGCCAGTTGGGTATTGCCTAGTCAGTGGGTAGAGATGGAGGTCTCTGAGAGAGACACTGTCTCTTTGGGAGCCTGTGGTCTGTTCCTTTGCTTAGAGCTGAAACTCTTACCCTTGCCTCCTTCATTTTCCAAAAGCTGCCTTGGATGACCCCTAGAATCACACTTCTCCCTCTCCCCAGTCCCAGGCAGTCTGTGCTTCCATTTTAAAGTTCATCTAGTCCATCTTTAGACAAATGAAGACCAGGAAGGGAAGATGCTACCTGTGGTCACACAGGATGCAAGCCACTGGGTACCACTGTCACCCTCCGCCCAGCACGCTGGCCCTGAGCCCAAAAGCCACCCTCCCTGCTCACCACAAGCACAGTAGCACCTCCCTGAGTGTCATGCGGAGCTCCTGGCTTCGAAAGGCATAGATGAGGGGATCAATGATGGAGCTGAAGATAATGAGAATGAGGAAGAGGTTGACGTTCTTGAAGACACAGCTGCAGGTGGGATGCTGAGGGCAGAGGACGATGAGTGAGAGATGCAGGAAGAAGGGGCCCCAGCACAGGAAAAATATTCCCAGGAGGATAGAGAGGGTAGCAGCACCCTTGAGGCAGAAGCCGTGGCGGGTAGAGCGCTGCCTCTTGTGGAGCTGGGCAATGCCCTGGGCATGCTGGCATGCCCGAGTGAGCATGTGTACATACAGAATTGCCATGAGTGCCAGCATGGCTAGAAAGAAAGTGACAAGGCAGAGTAGGACGGCTGTGTGACTGTAGTAGGCAATAAAGAGTGCGCTGGAGAAGACACTGGTCATCCAGATGCCCACGATGGCCCGTCGTGCCCGGGGCAGTGTCACAATGCTGTGATAGCGTAGTGCATAGAAGATAGAGATGTAACGGTCTATGGCGATGGCACCAAGGAAGCAGAGACTAGACACCATGGAGCCACAGATGAGCACGTCGACAACATTGTCCAGCACCACAACAGCCTGGGTCACGAGGGCACCTGCCTCCAGCAGCAGGATGATGGTGGTCTCCAGCACAATGCTTATACTCACCAGTAGGTCAGACAGAGCCAGGCAGCAGATGAGGCAATACATAGGTGAGTGCAGGTTGCGGTTCTTGGCGATGGCAACAACCACCAACACATTCTCCACCAAACTCACCAGTCCCAGGCTGAGGAAGAGGCCATCTGGGATGGACACCTGCAGGCACCAGGATTCTGTTTGGTTGGTGAGTAGCCCAAGTTTGGGGGTGGCTGTGGGGGTGAAGTTGAAAGAGTCCAGCAGCCTCTTCTGTGGCCCCTGTGTGGGCATAGTCCTGTGCAGGGGGCAGGAAGCAGTCAATGGAGGCTCTAGCTCCAACTATTGTTAGACTCCCAGGGTCCTGCTCAGCTCATGATGTCATCAGAAGGGCTTGAGCATCCCTTTGGCCTATCTCCTTCCATCTGGGTACCTTCCCCAATTCTCCCTTGCACTTGCCCTCTCCCCGGTTGGACAGGTCAGCCTGGAAAGAGTCCAGATACTTCCTGGCTAGGACCCTGAGTTCTACTCATGGAGTCTCACTGCCAGTGTGAAGGAGCCTAGCCTTCTGCTGCCCTCCCCACCACCTCCCAGCTTCTTGGTCACCTGCCTCTGATAAGTCTGTCAGCCTCTTGCCTCCCCAGGCCAGGATGGGTTGAGAGATCCCTAGAAGAATGGAGCGTTTCTTTGAATCTTTTAAGCCATCCACAGAACCCCTCCTTTTGATGGTGGCCACATGATGGGCATGTGCCTGGGATGTGTAAATATCCCCAGCACCTTGGACTGCCACCAGGGGGCATGAGCAGCATGGAGAAGCTGGAAGACACAACTCCAGTCTCCAACACAGGACACTGCATTTCCCCTATATGTTCAATGCTCCTGCAGACTGGCTAGACTTCGTCCCCAGGCTTCCAGACCTGTTCTGTGTACCCCTAGCTAAAGCTCCAGACCCATCTCAAAGTTACGTTCTTGAGTTGTCCCTGTCTCCCCCTCTTCCTATACTGCTCTGCCTCAGGCACAGTCACAGGTTGTGAACTAAGCATCCCTCTCACCCTTACCACCACTTCATTAGAAACTTCCCAAAGGCAGTGGCATTTTCACCACCACCACCACCACCCCACCCCCTGCCAGCTGAGATGCCTGTTGTGCATATGGCAGCAACACAGCTGTTAAATTCAGCTTTAGGGGCTAAACCAAGGAGGAGCGCTTTCAAAAATAATTAAAATATCAGAATGACATTCTGTGCCCCTCGAGACCCCAAGTTTTCTGAAGTCTAAGTAGCAACCTTCCTAGTTCTGGGGTGGAAGCATGTCACTTCCTGGGAGCCGACTAGCTGGAGGGCATCCTGATGCTGTCTACCAGCTTTCTTTAGCTACATCCCCTCTTACTCTCCAGCGCCCCCCCCCCGGCCCAGGGCACAACCATTCCATTTCCGTTGTGGAGCACATGCCAGCCCTGGAGTCAGTAACCACGTCAGAGCAGACCTCTGTTTCCAGCCTCAGTGGGCCAGCAGCTATGCATGTGACCAAACACAGTGGTCAGGACAGCACACAGGGGTGGTATTCACCCAACTCTGGCCTCTGCTGGCATGAGGTTCCTGTGGCATCCAATGTTTTCTCATGAATGATGTATTGACTTGGATGTTCACTTCCACATACAGGTGGAGAAAATAAGGCAGAGACAGAGTCAGCAGTGGAGTTGGAGGTGGTTCAACTAGTTGGAGTGCAAGCTGAAAGTTTGTAATATTCACTCATGGTAAAAGTCCAGTCTCTCTTACCCACTCTGGCAACCACTGACTCCCAAGGTGCCCAATACAGCACAGCCACTGTGAAAGCACACATGAACTACATGAGCATCCACTACCAAATGTCATTCATTAGACCTTCGTTTTGCAACTTCAAATCTTTCCCTTTAAAAATTTTTTAAAAATTATTTTTATTTATTTTTTGGTCTTTTTGAGACAGGGTCTCCCTGTAGCCCCAGCTGTCCTGGAACTATGTAGACCAGGCTGACCTTGAACTCACAGAGATCCGTCTGCCTCTGCCTCCCGAGTGCTGGGATTAAAGGTGTGCACCACCATGCCTGGCTAAATTATTTTTATGTGTATGAATGTATTGCCTGCATGTAAGTGTGCGCATGTTGTGCAATGCTTGAAGAGGTCAGAAGAGGGCGTCAGATCACCTGGGACTGGAATTACCAGGGTTGTTAGCCACCATGTGGGTGCTGGGAACTGAACCCAAGTCCTCTGTGAGAGCAGCCACTGCTCTTAACTGCTGAGCCATCTCACCAGCCCCACTAAAAAAAACAAAAAACCTGCAACCACCCCACAGTACAATATACATAAAAGTGTACAAATGACAAATATGAACAGGACATGCTCCAAGCTGAGTATAGGCAGTATTTTCCCAGCTCAATCAATAAAACACAACCTGCACCAGAGTAACCCTGGGCTCCAGCACCACTGTCTTGGCTTAACACTATTAATTTTGTCTATCTTAGAACATTATATAAATGGAATCTTCCAGTTTGTACTTTTGCTCACGCTGAGTCATTCTTGTTATTTGGGCAATTAAAACCTTTGTGTTGTATAGTGTCCATTATGTGAACGACTCATGTTGGACATTTGGGTTCTGTCCAGCTTCATCATGATCAGTGCTGCTGGTAGGTCTTAGTGACTGTCCTCTGGCTTCACAGGGATGTGCTTATGCTGAGTATCTGCCATGGAACTTCACAGGCATGAGGCATATCTTTGGCTTTGGTAGATCTGGCCAAACCATTTTCCAAATTGGTGGACCTGTTTCTGGGAGTGTTCATGCCCTCAGGTACCCTGTGTCACTGTATAGAGGATGAAAAAGTCTGGGTGCCCAAAGTGTTCCAAGTCTCCACAGAAGCCTGTAGAGACAGGGTTCACATTACCACACTCTCATCCCACCTGTCTGTGTCCTACAGTCTAGGCCTTACTCTGCTTCTGGCTGAGAAGGGTCCCAGGCCTGATGGGGTAGGCAGAACCACGGTTGTGAAGGCATGATGGTGTATGGTAGCATGGCTAGCTCCTAAAGCCACGTGGTGCCCAGACACCCGGTACCTGCATGCTTCCTTTCACCTCTGGGACATGAATGAGCAAGTAGCCCTCTGCCCCAGCTTCCTGTGCTGCCACATTTCACAGATGTTGGTATTTCCAGCTTCATAATGAAGTCTTTGAGACAGCCATAGTTCACCACCACCCCTATCTCCCAGCCAACCTGACTTCAAAGGGCATGAAAATTGAACAGCCTTTGGCAGAGACAACCACATCCTTCCTGGCAAGTCCCTATTGCTGGGTTTGGGGAGTGGGGTGACCCTGCCTTGAGATTCACCTTGGATCCTACTGGTCACACCTGCTGGAGGCTTCATAGGAAAAGGACAAATACAGTGGAGTTGGAAAAGCCAGCTTCTGATGTGCTGTGGTAGGGATGTCAAAGTTAGCCTTGGGGTTATCTGGATTAGACAGAACTGAGCACCCTAAGGCTGATTACACTTCAAGTTTGATCTCTCAGTGGCCGTGGGAAAAGTATGTGACAAACGGCATATGGGAGCAACCACTCTCTCAGTGGGGGACACTAAGTGCACACTGCCTCTCCGAGTTGGTGGCACCATTTTCTATTCTGTAGAAATGTCCAAAGTTTACCTGGCTTGCTTGCTGTGTACCCAGCAGGCTGAATCATACCTGAAGACCAGCAAGGGGGAAGTCTCTCCATGAAGCAGGGCTGCCCCCAACCTACCAGGCAGACCCACCAGAGAAGGGGGTCACCACTTCCCTCAGGGAGTTCCCAAAGTCCCTGGGCATTGTTAAACTGTCCCTTCTGGCTATTACATAGGACAACACAGCTTTTCAGGAAGGTTACTTGGTCACCAGATCTGCTGAGACTGAGGAGGGTCCAGGGAGGAGCAGGATATATTATCACCCCTACTTGGGTGGCAGACCAGGCTTTAAAGCTGTCCAGATGACATATGAGTGACTTGGATGTTTTTACTCACCACCAGAAATGTATTCAGTTGTAAATCACTTAAATTTGAGCAGCACTTTTGAAGCAGCCTATTTAATGGCTTCTAGGAAACAGGCCCAGGAGTGGAAAGCGTCCCAAGGCACCCTCTCTGCTTTACTCCCCTAGAACACTGAGAGTTCATTGCCCCCTGACTGCACGATAGCTGCTGCAGCTCCAGATATCAGATCCATCTGGATGAACCTACAGCTGCTAGAAGAGGCAGAACACCAGGCTTTCCGTGCTTTCCTGTCACTTCCAGGGAACAAACCACTTCCTAGGAGACCCCTCTGCTCCTTGGCTCACTACAGGTCACTCCAGCTGAGGAAGCTGGGGTATAGACACTGAGCTAGGAACATCTCTATGGTGCTACTCCTTGTGGCTGGGTATAGGTTGCCCACCAAACCCAGGGAGGGGCTGATCCCCTCAGGCCCATTCATCCACTAGAATGAAGTACAGAAGCCTGTATCCAGGTTGCATGGCCCTGCCAGTTCATGCCAGAGAGAGAAGACAGATATAGCACCAGTTCATGAGACATGTGACCTCTTACCAGAGAACGCAAGGCACATAACTTTGGGCACAGCTAAGACTCAAAGCCCCTCTACAAATAGCCAACCTAGAACTAGGCTATGATATTTAGGGTGACTAAAGATGGCACAAGTCAGTCCTCAATGTTCTGCTCAACAAGCAGTACTCTGGCTCCTGCTTAGCCAATGCCAGGGCCTCTGACTATAAGGACCTTCTTTTTTCTTTCTTTTTAAAAAATTTTTTTATTTTTATTTTTTGGTCTTTTGAGACAGGGCCAGTTCTAGCCCCACCTGGCCTGGAACTATGTAAACCATGCTGGCCTTGAACTCAACAGAGATACACCTGCCTCTGCCTCCCAAGTGCTGGGGTTAAAGGCATGCAACCCCACACCTGGTCTTTTTTAAAACTATTTTATGTGTATGAGTATATTGCCTGCATGTATGTGAGTGCACCTGTGTCGTGCATTGCTGCAGAGGTCAGAAGAGGGCTTCAGATTCCCCTGGAACAGGAGTTAAGGACGGTTTGTAGCCGCCATGTGGGTGCTGGGAATCGAACCTGGGTCCTCTGCAAGAGCAGTCAGTGCTAACTGTTGAGCCATCTCTCCAGCCCCTTTTCTTTTTAAAAATAATTTTTATGTGTGAGTGGTCCAACATGGGTGCTGGGAACCAAACTCGTACTCTGCAAGAGCAGCAAGCAGAGTAAGTGCTTTTAACTGCTGAGCTATCCTTTACCCTTTGCATTTTAAAAGATATTTTTATTTTATGTGTATCAGTGTACTATCTGCAGGTGTGTAAGTGCACCCTTGTCATGCAATGCTTGTGGAGGTCAGAAGAGGGTGTTGGATTTCTGGAACTGGAGTAGTGGACAGTTGCTCGCTGCCATGTGGATGCTGGGAATCAAAACCAGATCCTCTGCAAGAGCAGCCAGTGATCTTAACCGCAGAGCCATCTCTTCAGTTCCTCTTTTGCATTAAAAATTTTTTACTTATTTTTAATGTGTAGGAGTGTATTGCCTGCATGCAATGCCTGTGGAGGTCAGAAGAGGGCACTGGATCCCCTGGAACTGGAGATATAGTTGTTAGCCACCATGTGGGTGCTGGGAATCAAACCCAGGTCCTCTGCAAGAGCAACCAGTGCTCTTACCTGCTGAGCCCTCTCCAGTCCCATCTTTTGCATTTTTGAAAACATGTGTTTGTGTGTGTGTGTGTGTGTGTGTGTGTAGACATACACATGCCACTATGTGCCTATAGGGGTCAGCTGGCTCCCTCATGAGACTTTTTAACTTTGGTGTTAGGATTGGCAGCAAGTGCCTTTGGCCACTGAGCCATCTTGCTTGCCCTCAGGACGTTCTTTTTCTGTGTTTTTGTTTTTCTGAGAGAGGGTCTCACTGTAGCCTCAGCTGACCTAGAACTCAATAAGTAAACCAGGTTAGACTGGATCTCAGAGATCTGTCTCCCTCAGCCTCCCAAGTGCTGGGATTAAAGGTGTTTGCCATCAAGCCTAGCACCCCTATCCCCTTCTTTCTTGAGATGTGGTCTCATGCAATTTTGGTTGGCTTCAAACTCATTATGTAGCAGAGGATGACCTTGAACCTCTTAAGTGCTAGGATTACAAATGGGCACCACCAAACCTGGTTTGTGTAGTGCTAGGGATTGAACCCTGGGCTATGTGTAGGCTAAGAACGCTCTCTACCAACCGAGCCACATCCCCAGCTCCAAATTTTCAAATAAAATTCCTAGGCTGGGGCTGTCATTCAGAAGCAGAGCATGTGCTAGGTCTGGGTTTGATCCCCACCACTGCAAAGATGCTAGCAAGTATGGAATTCAGTTCCCTGAAACAAGGAGCATGAGAGGCCTACATATGCAGCAAGCACCTTGTACTGGAGACTCTAGGGTACTCTCTTTCTACCTTGTGTCCCAAATCCTAGGAGTGTCAAGAACAGTAGGGTTCATGTGGTGTGGGGCCCATTATTTCCAGGATTCCCTCTGAGGGCACTGGAGGAAGAGCTCACTCACAGTAGTACATAACCCACTCACATTTATAGGGAAAACAAAGACACAGGTTGATGACATGGTCAGCATTTCTACTTCAGGGAACTGGTCAATTCCAACCAGAAAATAAATCCGGAACATAATTATACATTGCTGGGTGCAGCCTCTGGAAGACTCAGTCCCAGTCCCCTTCGCCCTCAGGGTTGTCCTCTCGAGGTGCTTCCAGGTCGTTGAAGTGGAAGTTGGCCATCATGTCGCGTACAGCAAGCATCAGCCTGTTCAAACCTTGGTTGTGGTTCCGGCCCCCGGCCACTCCTTCTTCCAGTCTTTCCCCCTGAACAATGAGACACATCTGAGTTGAGGCTGACGGTGCTGGGACTCAGGACCTGGGGTTCAGACAGCCCGTGCCCTAGCACTAGGCTTGTCCCCTCTCCAGGTTCTGCTCAGGAGAGGAGGCTCTGAAAAGCCAGATGCACCTGTTTAACTAAGGTCAGCCTATGGTGGGGTTGACTATCATGCAGCCTCACGGTGCTTACCTTGGAACAGCAACTGCAGCTTCAGCAGGACAATTCCCTACTTCCTAAGCACATAGCACCAGAGGCAGGATGCTGTCTCGGCCTTTTCCTGACCCCCACCTTGAGAGAGATTTGCCCATACCCACTTGACAGGGAAAGGACAACAGATATGTTCAATTGACATACCTCCGTGGTGTAATTTGGCAATAAGGACCGGAAGAAGAGGGCAATTGTGTTTCCATGACTGACTGGACTTAGCCTAAAAATCAGAAGAGGTTAGAAAATGAAGTTGAACACACTGTAGAGTCCCAGCCCTTGTCATCTGTCCCTATTCTGTCTCCTGACTGCTAGGGACAAACAACCTCCTAGACTGCAGACTGGGCCCTGGAGCAGGCAATGATGACAATTAACCAGCCTGGGGTGGAGAGCTGTGGACACCTAAGGGCAACAGGGAGAGATAAAGTATCCCAGAGTGTTGGCCCTTTAATGGAGTCATAGGGAAAGAAGGCAAGGTGACTACAGCATTCAAAGACTGGAAAAGGAATTGGTCAATCACATCAAAGCAGACAGGAGGGGCCAGGGCATCACAGAGTAGGGGATGTGTGGCCCTGTGGTCCAGCTCTACTGTATACTCTGGGATGGCAAGAGCAGAGCTGAGTGTTGCGTTGGCCAGGCTATCAGCCTGTCAGGATGTTTCTGAGTCCACTGACAATTCTCATCTTAATCTAAGAACTCAAATGGGAGTCTTTTTTTGTTTTGTTTTGTTTTGAAACAGGGTCTCCCTTTAGCCCCAGCTGTCCTGGAACTCACTATGTAGATGAGGCCGGCCTTGAATTCACAGAGATTCGCTGCCTGCCTCTGCCTCGGAATGCTGGGACTAAAGGTGTGCACCACCACGCCCAGCAGGAGTCTTTTACTCAATATGCCTGGCCAAATTCTAGAAGGCCTGTACTCTTTGTTCAATAGGATGTGGAGGCAGTAGGCCCAGGTAAGGCAGCTCTGAAGACTAAGAGGAAAGGGAAAAGAATCCTTTCACAATCTAGATTCCAAAAACTGCCCATATACACATGGCAACCTGTGAATCAGTCATGTTCCCTATTAGTGCCTGTCTCACTACCCTATTTTCCTAGCCCAGCAACACTGGCTTTGCTTCTGAGCTCCCTGTCTTATACTCTGCTCCTGGTACAGGGATTTTGCACATGCCACAGTATGAGCTTCCATCCTCTGCCTGGTTGGGGCACAGCCTTCTACATAGCAGGTGACTCTCACTTCCTAGTCAGGGCATGTCCTTCTTCTTAGTCTCTCACAAAAGCTCTTAGGCAGTTTTGACCCTATGCTTATGTCTAAGTTCTTGGCTTGATGCCTTTTGGGTACTATACCAGGTCAGCGATAGCTTCCTACTGTATTTCTTGCACCTGTTACAAACCTTACAGGGAAGTGCTCAGACTTTTGGTTTATTCAGATAGAGGCAGCTCCATGTTACACTGTGCTGTCCTTCCTCCTGAGTGGGCTGACCTTCTTAGCCTGTGCCTGCCTCTTCCTTCTGGTTGGCAAGGGCAGCCCCATGCACTCCAAAGTACCAACTTGGTCTGTGTAGGTATGAGAACAAAGTGGGGAAGGTACCTCTCTGGTCTGATGTAGGAGTAGATGGTGTCCAGAGGAGGCAGAGGGTCAAACCCCATCACAGACTGTGTGGTCACATCCTTTAGGGGAGGAGGGAGATATAAAACAAAGACTCTGGAGCATTGCTGGCAGCCTCTGGCTTCCCCAGATGTCAGCCGGTCTCAACTCAGGTTGGACCCATCTGCTGGGAGGCAACCACCAACACCTGGCACGAGTGACACCTGTTTCTGCTCCAAGAAACTTCAGGTCAGGGTGGAACAGCCTCTCTCCAAGCAGGATAGGCGAGTCATCAGAAATGTGACTTTCTGCTCCAATCAGTGGGATATAGGACAAAGAGCAGGCACACTTTCCATAGGTGTCACCATCTTCATCCATGCCAGAAACAACTGCCATGGCTGCAGACTATGGACTAGGGATGAGAGTCACTGGATCCCCAGAGAGCTGGTCATTCAACAGCTGACCCAGCCCACCACCCAGAGTGCCAACTGAATGACAGACTCATGCTGCAGAAAGCACGGAGATCTGTGAGAACAAGGCCAAGACCCAGCTGCAGAAGGCACATAAGTCACAGGAGCCCCTGCTGCAGAGGTCTGTGAAGGATGGCTGAAGCTCTACCATAGGGAGCCTGAAAACACAGTGGAAAACCTTACCAAGGCCACAGCAGTGACGAAGGTCCAGAGAAGAAAGCTGAGGGGAAGAATCCCTCTATACCAGCCCCAGCCCTGCCTGGCATGCAGACTGGTTTGTGGGCTGCTGAGAGCCGGAAGGGAAGCACATGTGACTGACACACACAAAACCCCCATCTTCAGCATCCCTCCCTTACCGGGGGCAGGGCAGCGACAGCCTCCTTGATCTCAGAGAGGATCACATGGCGGTGAATGTTTCTGGGAGCACGCTGGTAGAGCACCTTCCGCCTGAGACCAGGGTAGACAAGAGCAGATAAACTGGTGCCCACAGTGCAAAACACAAAGTCACCCAAACCCATCCTGGAAAAAGCCCAGCAGGGACTGGCTTCATGGAGCCTCCCACTCACTCCTTGGCAGAAGCTGTGCAGCTATCCCATGGCCCTGTGGCAAGAGCAGACTCTGAAGGAAAACCATAGCTTGACCTATACAACTCAGACCCTTCAACCAAGAAATGGAAGTAAGAACAGCTGTGGCTAGTTCTGGTGAGTTCACTAAGTTTCCACAATGGAACTCTTGGATGTGCTGGTCATTACTACATGTGCATGGACCTGGGAAGGCAGGACAGGGATGTGTTTTTCTGCCTGTGGGAAGTATCCAGCCCAGTGGATGAGCAGGCAGTACCCACAAGGCTGTGACGAGTGGAAGCAGCAGCACTTCTCCTTTCCCCTTCTCACCTTCTCAAACAGCCAAGGGCTCAGCCTCATGTCTACCACAAAGGAACCTCCTCTCCATGGAATGGCCAGGAGAGAACAGAACTCTCTGAGCTAGCCAGCATAGCTACTGGCTACTGCTGTCCCTAGAGCCAGAATGGTGATTGAGGACCAGGAACAAAACTGCACAAGTGGGCAAGGGGCTTCTCAAACACAGTGAATAGGTTTTAAGTTATAGAAAACCCCACATGCAAGAAAGTCAGCTGATTCCTCTAGTTGCCTTCTGGCCCCAACCTTAGCCAGAAAGGGGAGGGTAAGACTAGTAATCACTGAAAACAGCACAAAAGCATGTGGCCAGAAATAAATTCTCAACCAAACCACTAGGATACATAATAACCACACACTCCCACCACATTTCTGTGTGGACAGTAGTAGCAGCTACATCCAGGATCCCCTGCTGGGTCCTTCAGAAGTCAAGCTGCTCACAGCCTCTGCTGCCTCTGCAATCACAGGCCCCATGTCTGTGATCAAGACTCAGGAGGAGACATGAGGACTCATGAGGGGAGCAGGGTGCACTCCCTGTGCCTGGTTCTCATGATACTTGTCAGGCTCAGCTCACCTGTTCTCACAGGCTTCCACGGCAGGGTCTCCAGCATCCACTGCCTGCAGAACCACTCGGACATTTTCCTCCAGCCAGCTCATAGTTGTGGGTTCTTTCCAGAGAAAGTGTGATCTCCCAAGGTACAGACTCACCAGCTGGCTCAGGGCAGGGGGCTGGCTGTGGAAGAGCAAGGCCTGAAGTAGACCCTTAGCAGAGTCCATGGTAGGCAAAGGGATGTTCAGGAAGGCTCAGCAGCCTGGAGCAAAGAAGGTTGCCCCTCAGCTGCTGACTAGGGATATTCTGCCTCTTGAGGGTTGGGCACACAAGGTCTGCTTCTGTGGGACTGTGTTGCCTGAGTTTAGTAACACAAATCACTTGACAGAAATGTGAAAAACATGAAAATAAGTATGTTTGCCTTTGTGGAATGGCGCAAAAGGACAGTCCACAGCTGCTGATGACAAGTCTGTAGGGAGAACGGGAATGCCAACACAATGCATTTCATTTTTTTCTGTGTATGTTTCTGTTTATGAGAAATACGTCAATATAGAAATATGGGAAACACTAATAACAGTAAAGGCCAGGAACCCCGTCCCCCCACCTCCCTACTCCTGCCCTACAAAGATTACATAACCTAGCCTCAAGACCTGCTCCCCAACTCTAAGAAGACATCTTGCAAATCTCATTGTTTAAGCTGGCGGCAGCTCATTTGCTCCATTAGTGCTTTCTCTCTAAGAGGTGAGGTGTCTTGCACATGGATGTGGGCTCCAGGGACTTCCCTGGGTGGACAGTCTTTAAGGGTGAGAGACAATAGTGCCTACAACCCGTGTCTCAGGATCTTTACCTTATCTCAGCATCTGGCCCAAAGAAACGGTGGTTTGAGACTGCTGCATCAGGCCGCACACTGCAACACTCGAGCAATGGCATGAGAACTGAAGAAAAAGCAAAGGCTTCATGTGTTCTGTGGCCCTTGCTGCATTAGCTCCCAGCCCTGAGCCAGATATCTAGAGACATTGTGACATCCTTGTCATAGTTACCACTAGGTTGTTTTTAAGATGGTAGAAGTTGGGACAGCCAGGGGTTCATTTCCGACCAGCATTCCAAATTGGTCTGAGCCTGGGTCTCTCATCTAGGCTCCAAGGTACCTCTGAACCCTGGAGGTGGATGCATATCCTGCTGACCCTAATATTCCATCTACATCACCCCCAAGCATGGGTGGCTGGATGTTTTGATCATATGAAGATCAGACTCAAAGACAGACTGGTGGGAATGGGTTTGCCTGTGCCCTGCAAGAATTAACTCTGCTGGGCCCAGGTTCAGATCAATGGCCAACAGTTTGTCCAGGTCCTCCTTGTATGGAGTGTTGTCCACCTGAGTACTGGCTTCTGTAAACAGCCTGCATACTGGTAAACTGCCAGAACACAGCCTTCCCAGTGACTTCCTTGGGGCACACCTATGCTGCAGCATCCTGAGAGGTAGCAGTACCAGCTCTGCAGTGCAGCACACAGGCCACCAGTGTATATCCCTTCAGCTGGTCCACTACAGCAGAGGCATTGGCAGCCATATTAGATGACAGAAGACAGAGGCAGCTTCTAAGTAATGGAATTGGCCTTCACTGGGTCAGCAAGTAGGTACTGTTCTTGCCTGAGGTTGCCCAGACCTTGCTGGTGGGCAGAATTTTGGTCAAGGTTTAAGGAACACAGAGGATCTACAATGTGGTACTGATTTTGGGGCTTTGTAACAGAAAAGCAGCTGGACTTAGAGGAGGAGCCTTGTCTCCATATCACTTTTTTGCATTCTCTTAGCAAAGATCTGGACAAGCAGAAGTCTTATTCTCCTGGCCACATGCCTGTGAGAATGCTTGAGCAGCATACCACAGCCTCCTGGCTGCTCATGGCCAATGCCCATCCGTCTCTGGGTTGAGCCCCAGGCCTCTCCATATACTGCTGTTTTTTTTCCTAGTACCAAACACCATCTAACATAGTGTCTTAAGGAAAATTCTCTGCTCATTTACCCTGCAACTAAGCCCCAGAGAGAGGGACATTTGTCCCTCTCCCCTGCTGCCTCTCATACCTTGTTTTAGGCTTACTGAAGTAGACAAATTAACTACCTCACTACAACTACAGCAAGTCTTTAGGCCACTTAGAAAATGTGATCTTTCGAAGGAGGGCTGTAACCCTGACTCCATCCCCAGGAAGACAAGTTACCTCCCCAGATAAAAGGTGGCACCCACCTCCAGGGAACATGGTGAGCGCCTGCTGGATCAGGAGGGAGGCCTGTTCCCTGGCAGAGGTGAGCTCATGCTCAGAGAGGTCTGTTTGCTGACTCAGAAGGAAATATGCCAATGGAACTGAGAAGGCAAAATTTGGGAGCTGGGACAGGTTCCGATGAGCCTGTAAGGGATGAAGAAACAAAGCCTGGGGCCTCAAGGTCATGAAGATAAAACAGGTAGTTTAAAGATTCTCAAAAATTTCCAGGTGAGCGCCACAGCTGCTTCCTTGTAGGCTGCTCTGTAACTCAGGATGAAGAAAATTCAAGCTTTTATATGTGCAGAAAAGACAGAAAGACACAGGAGGCTGGGAATTAGCCCAGCCAGATGCTGGACTAGCAGGTGAGGGCCTCAGAGCCACCTGGAAGGGACATCCCTTTCCTAGTAGTTCAGCTTTGGATGCAAGGAAGCCAGCCCTATATCCATGCAGAAGGTCCAAAGTCAAGTCTGCAAAGATAAGATCTGACTCCACCCTACCTACAGAAGTCTTTTCCAGTCCTTTCCTTTCCTTTCCTTGTGTGTGTGTGTGTGTGTGTGTGTGTGTGTGTGTATGAGAGAGAGAGAGAGAGAGAGAGAGAGAGAGAGAGAGAGAGAGAGAGAGAGAGAGTGGTCTGCTATACTTTTTATTTTTCTTTTTTTGGCCTTTTTTTGAGACAGGGTCTCCCTGTAGCCCCAGCTGTTCTGGAACTCACTATGTAGACCGGACTGGTCTTGAACTCACAGAGATCTGCTTGCCTCTGCCTCCCAAGTACTAGGACTACAGGCATGTGCCACCACGCCCGGCATACTTTTTAATTTTTTATGTGTGTGGTGTGTGCATATACATGTGTGTGGCAGATGCTGGGTATCTTTCCTTGACTGCCCTCCAATTTTACTTTTTAGATTTATTTATTTCTTTCTATGTGTGGGGGTGTGTGTGCACGCATCTGTGCACGTGAGTGAAATAAGATGTGTAAAGTGAGAGGATAATTTGCAGGAGTCCATTCTCTCCTTCCACTATTTGGGTCTTCAGGATCAAAGTCAGGTCATTGGGCTTGACGGCAAGTACTTTTACCTGCTGAACCATCTCATCAGTCCTCCACCTTTATTTTTTGAGACTCATTAATTAGCCAATGCACTTGTCTCTACCCCCACCCCAAAGCCAGCGTTACAGGCATGCACCACCAAGCCCTGATTTTTATATGGATTCTAGAGATCCATTCAGGTCCTTATGCTTGCATGGCAGGCACTTTACTGACAGCCATCTTCCTAGTCCCTTCTTTCCTATTACAACAGAATTGTTTTCTTCACGGAGTTCCACAATCACATAAACTATCACAACCACTCTCCGGCAGTCCCTATCTGGCATTTCCTATAGCTATGCTTTCATGAGTTCTAGGAGTTTCTATCAATCAGACCTCAAAAAGTGAGATTCCTTGGCCAACTATGCCAAGCATTACACAACTTAAAATGATATACCTATTTAAAAACACTTTTATTTATTTATTTTTATTTTATGTGTATGAGTGTTTTGCCTGCATTTAAATGTACCCATGTCATGTAGTATCCATGAAAGCCATAAGAGGGTACTGGAACTGGAATTAGAAAGGTTTTTAGTTGCCATATGGGTTCTGGGAATTGAACCTGGGTCCTCTACAAGAGCAGTCAGTGCTCTTTTTTTGTTTGTTTATTTGGTATTTTTTGAGACAGGGTCTCCCTGTGGCCCCAGCTGTCCTGGAACTCACTATGTAGACCAGGCTGGCCTTGAGCTCACAGAGATCTGCCTGCCTCTGCCTCCCCAGTGCTGGGATTAAAAGCGTGCGCCACCACGCCCGGCATCAGCAGTCAGTGCTCTTAACTGCTGAGTCATCTCTCTAGCCCCACTGTTTTTTGCTAAGGTAAAAAAACATACTGTGAAGTGAAGGGCAGAAACAAAGCAAAGGCTTGATATCCTTTTCCCCTTCTAGGCCCTGCTGGAGGCAACCAACACAAAGCCCAGTGTCTCCTTCTGACAAGCACCATCTATGGAGTGGGAAAGGAGCCCTATATTCCTTAAATTGTCTTTTGGTTGCATTAAGGAGAAATGTGGAACTGATCTTAACATATGGTATCTAATCCAATAAACTGAAACTGTCATTTGACACAAGTCCACAGTCATGGGCAAGATAGTTTATGTTCTTTCCTGGTACCATATGGCACCCAAGGTGTATCTGGCACTCATAGCACCCGGGCCACCCTTCATTTACATGCAAACTTGGCAAGGCATCCATATGAGTATATGGATCTGTCTGTCCAGCATTTCTGTAGTATGTGGGCCTGTGTGCTGGGGTCCCCATATCAAATCCACATAACCCTCTTTTACTTCATGACTGCTTCCTGCTATGTGGACCACAGTGAGCTCTGGGGGTCTTCCCAAATTTTCATCACTACTAGCACCACTGTTTCTACATGTGTACTTGGTATAGGCCTGTGAGCAGCCTTGGGGTTCTCACTCAAGGCTGCTGGAACACTTTTTAGGGAGACTGGATCTTGTTCAACAGAGGTAATGATGAAACCCAAGAAGCAGGAGGCCCTCGGGATCTACCTAGGCTCTGACTCATGCCCTCACTAACTTATCACAAAATTATTCTTCAAACACACATGCTGAAGACCAAGAAAGACACAGCTACACCTTCAAGTCACACTGCATGGCTCACACCTACCTCCCATTCCTGAAAGAGACGTATCAAGTACTCGTAGTTCCGGGCCCGTAAGGCCAGGTGGTCAATAAGCAGCAGCATGCACAGGGGGTCCTCGTCTGGCTCAAGGCTTCCAGAGGCAGCACAGTGAGTGGAGAATAAAGGAGGAAAGAGGAAGTGTTGTCATGGCTGGAGTCCTCACAGACCTGGGGCCACTGTGGTACAGACAGGCAGCCATGCAGCCCAAGTGGAAACTTACCTCAGGATGAGCTTACAGTACTCCAACGCAGTGCGTGGGCATCCTCGCTTCTCCAAGAAGTTCATCTGCTTGTAGAGCGCCAGGTAGAAGCTCCTAGATTCAAAACAGTTCACCATGAATTAGGGCAACAGAATAGGAACAGAGCATGTCAACTGAGAGAGAGGTCCAGCACCATGTCCACCCTCTGTGTTGAGTCAGCCATTTCCTATGTGGCCAAATACAGTGTTTGCGAACATTCCCTATGTGTCTGGAGGAAAGGTATGCTTTTCTTTTTTTAATTTTAATTTTTAAAATATTTTATTTATTTATTATTTTTATTTTATGTGTGCTGGGGTATATTGCCTGCATGTAGGTAAGTGCACCCTTGTCGTGCAATGCCTACAGAGGACAAAAGAGGCCATCGGATCCCCTGGAACTGGAGTTATAGACAGTTGTTAGCTGCATGTGGGTGCTGGGATTCGAACCCGGGTCTTCTGCAAGAACAGTGTTCTTATCTGCTGAGCCATCTCTCCAGCCCCAAGGTATGCTTCTTGTTATTTAGCTATAAATATACTTATACAAGAACATCCAGCTTTTCTGTGTTTATTTTGTTGTTTAAGAAGGGATTGTCTATGTTGTCAAGGCTGACCTTGAACTTCTTGGGCTCAAGCTATCCTTTAGCACCCCAAGTCTATACACAGGTGCCACCATGCCAGGCTAAAACCAAGCATGTGTTAAAAAAAAAAACCAAAAACCTGTCTTTTCCTTTTTCTTTTTTTTTCTTGAGAGAGGATCTCATGTAGCCCAAGCTGACATAAAACTTACTACGTAGCTAAGGATAACCTTCAACTACTGATTCCTACATCCTAGTGCTATAATTACAGGCATATGCCACCATACCTAGCAAAACCTGTTTTTGTTTGTTGTTTACTGTTTATCATATTTAAGGGAAAAGAGTTAAAACCTATTATGATTATATTTAACTTTTAAAAAATATTTTATTTATTATTTTTATTTTATGTATATGAGTGTATGTATGTAAGTATACCCATGTTGTGCAATGTCCACTAAGGTCAGAAGAGGGCATCGGATCCCCTGGAACTGGAGCTAAGACAGTTGTTAGCTGCCATATGGGCGCAATTTAATTTTTTTGAGACAGGGTCTCACTATGTAGGCCTGGCTGGGCTGGAACTCAAAGAGATCTCCTGCCTCTGTCTCCTGAATGCTGGGATTAAAGGTGTATACTACTACACCAGGTTTATAATATTTTATTTTTATTTTTTTAAATTAAATTTTGTTGTATTTCATACAGAATATCTCAAACAGTCTGAATCATCTTTATAGCCCCGTCTCCATATAATCTTAATTTATGTTCAAATTTCAGCATTTTTCAACATTATTACTCTTGAATACATAAAGATATGTGGCTTTATTCATATTGGTGACTTAATTTTAGAACCTGTTTCAAAGAAGTAGGAGTTTAACTAGATGAGACCAAAGCAATATATAGGAACCCAGTACAGGAGACCCTGACACAGTACCCAATGCAGGAGAGGGAACAATGACTATGGTCAAGAAGGTGGGACACTCCCTGCTGGAGCTGACCAGGGTTATCCAGAGAAACAGAGTACTAGATGTGAGAGAGGGAGGGAGAGAGGGAGGCAGACAGATAAATGGGATAAGGAGGGACAGATACCAGAGGATGGTCAGGGCAAGAGATGCATGGGAAAGAGAACATTCTCCACATGACCACTCAAATAAGGCTGAATCCATGTTGATCTCAGATTTAAGACTCAGGACACACAACTGCAAAGCATGCTAAAATAGTCTATCCTCACTAGGAATGCATCTTTTCATTCAAATATATGGGAGGCATGATTCCAGATCTCACTGTTCTATGGCTTGTCAGGCTTACTCCCAACCTTGTTCCCTAAGTCTAGCCCCCTGCACTTCAGCTGTGAACATACCAAGGTCTATAAGGCATCCTGGACCTTCTAGGTCCTAGTGTATCCTCAAGGACAGTTACCCACTAAACTCAAAGCAGTCACCCATGTGACTTGAAGGCAGCCCCTGTAACTCACTCTGGGGTGAACTGTACTTACCTGTTCTCAGGTCTGCGGTAATCCATCCGGCAAGTCCCACTGGTGAGACTGAACAAGGGGTGGAATGCACACTCCATGCTGTACAGCGCTCTCTCTGTGGGTCACAAATACCAGAGGAGGGTGTTACAGACACAATGATCACAACTCCCTCCTTTGATAAAACAAGAAAAGCTCTGGAAGGAGAGAAGTCATGTAACTGGGACCCTGAAAGAGATGGCCCAGGTGAGACTTCCCAGGTATCTTCAATGACTCTGAGTTGTAAGCTCCAGAGAAAATGCCCCATATACCAGGAGGTACAAATGGTGCTGTGATCTGCTATGATCCACACAGGTATACAAACATGCATCACCACAAAGCCTGCACATGCATATTTATAGTAGCACTATTCCTAATAGCCAGAAAACAACCCAAATGTCCATCAACTGATGACAGAGACTGATGAAAGATACAACTGTGGTCTACACACAAAGTATTAAACAGTAACAGACAGGGTGCAGGTATGGTATATGCTCCAACAGGGGTAATGAAAACATTATGGTAAATCAAAATCTTTTTTCATGAACTCTACACTGTAAGTACACCTGCAAACAGAGCACACTAGTAGTTCTCAGGACTGAAGAGTAGGGGCTGCTTTCACAGATGAAAGTGCTTTAAAACAGACAGATAGATTGTGTGATAGCTGTAAAATTCTGGCATACATGAGAAATAATGGATTATACACTTTACACAGGTGAATTTTATAGTATATGAATTATATCTCAATGAAACATCCTGGCAAGACCACCATGTCCGGTGTCATCTTATGAAACAGCATCTGCCTATGAGCTAGAGCTGCTTGAGTGGCAGATACAAGTGGGTTGGCTCACCTATAAGGTCTCGGGCCATCTCTTGATCCTCTTGAAAGCGGCAGGCATCGCTGAGCTGCAGGAGTGAGTCAACATGATAGGGGCTTGTCTGGAGCAGAACCTGTTGAAAAGAAGATAGCCCTGGGGAAAGACTGCAGGTAGGGCCTTTGTGGGACATGCCTCAAAGGGCACCAGGCCACACCCAAGCTGGGAGAAATGATCAATGCAACAGTCACAGTTCCCTTTTAAGTCAAAGTATGTGGTGTGGTGGCTCAGCTGAATCACTGATCTAGTTCAAGGTAAGAACTCAGAACTTGGACTGTATAGCTGTCCATGCTCCAACTAAGAGCAATGGAAACCAGCATCTTTCTTCTCCTCACAGGAATGTGGCAGTATTCTGGGGTCAGGTAGATACAGGCACAGAGGATGTGTTCCACTTGGTTCTCAGTGATCACAAACTCAGTTGTGGCCCAAGCATGGGGCCAGGATACTCAGGACCCTGAATCACAGAGAATACGAGCTGCAGTGGCACAGGAGACAGGATGAGCTACCTGGAAGCAGAGAACCAAGCACACTCCCTTATATACCACCTAAGCTGGAGGCAAAGCAGCTGGGAAAAGATCCCACAGGTACCCTGCAACAGTTCCCAGAAGGGACCTGAGAGCAGAAGGTGGCTCTCCTCTGAAGAGAGACTGCACTGTTCTAAGATTATTTGCTCTGAACACAGGGTCTGATTGCCCTGTACACAGGCATCTTCCCTGCTGGGGGAAGTGGCTGCCCTCAGACATGCCTCCCCCAATCATAGATGGTCCTGGCTCTGGCACAGTGCATTGCTCCTTCTCCACCCATCAGGAGCTGCAGGGTCACGCACTACGATGTTGTTTGGCTCCATGGACTCCACAGCTACCAGGAACTTGTGCTGTGCTTGTTGGTATTCCTCACTGTGCTCAAATGCAAAGAAGGACAGGCCTTTCGTGGATTCCAGCAGTCGCATTGATAGACCTGTAAGGAAGATTGCTCAGGCAGGGTATGCTGCAGGCCAGGCTGTGGTACTCTGCAGGGCTCCAAAGCTCTGTGCAGTCATACACCCTCCTGCTGTTACTGGTGTGAATCTGCCACACGGGCACAACCTGACTTGAGTACTTGGTGCAGGTTGGCCAGCTCTGGGGCTACACTGCCTTAAGATCACAAGTTGACATCTGACAAGTGCCTTAGCAGAATGCCTAGGTGTACCCAAATGGCTTGGGCTTCACTAGGACCTGGAGTCCTATTTTGTTCCTGAGGGTGAATATAAGGAAAATGTCCCAGGGTCAGTGTTAGAGACTATAACATATGTGATCTGCCTGGCCACAGAAACAGTGACAGTGCCCTCATTTTAAATTTTTGTTTCGGTCTTTTCAAGACAGGGTCTCCCTGTAGCCCCCTAGAACTCACTATGTAGACCAGGCTGGCCTCGAACTCACAGAGATCTACCTGCCCCTGCCTCCCGAGTGCTGGGACTAAAGGCATGCGCCACCACACCTGGATGAGTGCTCCCATTTTTTGGATGAGTATCCACGGAAGGCATGAAGTAGGTATGGCACCAGGCCTCAGAGGTAACAGTGACTTATAAGTCATGATTAGACACCCTTTCTCTCTGTACCTTATATATGATATTGGGTATACAGAGACATTTCCCCTGGTAAACCTTAGTCCCTCAGGCCCTCCAAGAAACACACCAATAATTCTTGCGTCTCCTTAGTCACTTCCCACTGATGGCCCTATCAAAGGCCTAAGTCTCTGGCAGGAACATCATGGTCACTGACCTACCTGTACCAATGCACATGTGCACTGTCTTTTCTAGCAAGCGACAAAAGACACTGTGAGGCACTGGGGTTGGCCCTCCAAAAGCACAGGCCCTGAGCTCCTAGGCAGGTCCTCACAGGCACAGGAGGAGGATAGTCAGAACTGTTGGGGAGGGGCACACCCACTATCCCACTATCACTAGCACAGCCATACATCTCTCTGCCACTATGGTGTTCCCCGCTCCAGCCCTGAAGAACTCTCATGCCCCTAGATCCAGCCATGGGGAAATGTCTCTGGATACTTCTCTATGCAAAGTGCTCTAAAGAGGACATTTACTTGATACCCCCTTGCTTCTCTAGACTGTTGTAATTTTTCTTTAAATTATGCATACTTAGTGGTTTGCTATGAAATTTAAAAGCATCACATTTTAAAGGAAGACTTTAAGTAGCAGCAATCAATCTGAACCACTGCCCAAACCCAACATGCCCCACCTGGTTTGGTATATCGGGGCCAAGTGCTCTTAGGGGTCGTCAGCCACGTACACTTGGGATACACACGCTGTCTCTGCCGAGGCCTGAAGAGAACAGGACATATAAACACAGCTTTAACCTTCCATGGTGCATAGAGTTCAGGCTGGGCTGCCTAATTCTATAGGAACTACGAGAGCCAAACTGCAGGCAGGGAAAGTACATGGAAGAGGACACAGTGGTGTACCCACTGGGCAAGACAAGGGTGGGTGGACCACAGCACTGGCAACATAAGTAGCTACCACCATATAATCAGAGAAACAGAAAAGGGGTGACTTCAGGCTGGAGGTTAGGCCCTGAGCACTTGCTTAAGACATGTGAGGCTCCAGGTTCATCCCCAGCACCAGAAAGATAATAGAGTAAGTTCAGACTGCCCAGTAAAAAGGCAGAAGGAGTAACAAAAAAATTCAAAATTGAAAGCCTTAAAAAAAAAAAAGCAAGAATAAGCCAGGCCTGTTGGTATTCTGCTGACACAAAGTGAGCTATGAGCTCTCTTCCCCGGGGTATCAGCCTGAACAAGTCCCTTCGTCATGGCTGAGTGCTGAGGATGAGGTGACTATCTAACTGATACCAACAAAGCAAAGTCTGAAAAGGAAGCAGTGGGAATAATGAAGAACACTGACATGACCCTGGAAGAGCAGTCTGACAGAAATGTGCTGAGGTTAGCAGGGGAAGCGAGGTCTAGCTCCTCATAGATCTTTTGTGGGGCTCGGGAACTATACTCTCCCTATCTCCTGGTCAGATGGTCAGATGGTGACTGGTAAGGCACAGAGGGCAGGGGAGGGGGAAGAGGCCGCCTTACAGAGTCCATGAGGGGAAGAGTTCAATTGAACTAGGTGAGAAACGTGGGTTATTTGTATATTATTCTCTATGATTTCTAGGTAATTTGAGCTACTTCATTAAAACAAAAACAAAACTGAAGGAAAAAGTAACAAGTTTCAATGATAAAAGCTTGTTTCTTTCCCAAAGAGAAAATAAAAAACTGGAGGAGGAAACCAAGTGTACTGGAGAATGGCCAAAAACTGAAGGAAATAAGACAGATAGTCAACCTACAAACAGAGTAACTGGTACGGCGTAACAGTGAATTAGTACTGTCCCAAGTCTATGGGATCCCAACCCCAAAAGGGAACATTTAAAGTATAAATATTCTGCCAAGCATGGTGGCACACATCAGCAGGCAGACCTCTGTGAATTTGAGCCTGGTGCACACAGTTTCAGGCCAGTCAGGGACATAGTGAGACCCTGTCTCAAAAAAAAAAAAAAAAAGAGAGAGAGAAAAAGCCAGACATAGTGGCACATAGCTTTAATCCCAGCATTCAGGAGTCAGAGGCAGGTGGACCTCTGTGAGTTGGAGTCCAGCCTGGTCTACATAGCAAGTTCCAGCCCAGCTGGGGCTACAGGGAGACCCTGTCTCAAAAAGACCAAAAGGGGGAGGGGAACCTAGAAAAAAAAGATATTTTTCACCAATATTCCCAAAATAAAATATTAAAGTCAAAAAAACTTAAGCTAAATCAAGAGACATGTAAATAAACGGGGGATGTTAGAGTACCCAAAAGCCCCATAAAAATAAATAAATGAAAGAAAAAAAAAGAAAAGAAAAAGAAAAAAGTGATGGGGAGATATGGGAGGTGTTGGAAGGGAGTGGGCATGGATTTGATCAAAACACCTTATATGCATGTATGAAATTCTCAATAAAGTTTTTGTAAAAGTTTAAAAAAAAAGAGAGAGATATGTAAATAAGCTAGGTGATTTTGCATACCTTTAATCCTAGTACTCAGGAAGGAGACAGGGAGACTGCTGTCTGGGACTAGCCTGGTCTACATGACAAGTTCCCAGATAGCCAGGGCTACATAGTAAGACTGTGTGTGTGTGTGTAATGTGTATATATATGTATATGTATTAAAAACAAAAAGCCAGGGACTTAGTCATAGTCTAAGAAATAAAAGAAAAAAAAATCCAAAGACTATTTTGTTTTTAAATATTTTATTATTTTTATTTTATGTGTATGAAAGTTATGCCTGCATGTAGGTAAGTGCACCCATGTCCTGCAACGCCTGAGGGGGACAGAAGAGGCTGTTGGATGCCCTGGAACTAGAGTTACAGACAGTTGTTAGCTGCCATTTGGGTGCTGGGATTCGAACCCGGATCCTCTGCAAGGCCACAGTGTTCGTAACCTCTGAATCATCTCTCCAACCTCCAAAGACTATTTTTGTCTATACATTATGACCTTTTTTTTTTTTTTTTTTTTTAGGTCTTTTAGAGTCAGGGTCTCCATGCAGTCCCAGCTAGCCTGGAACTTACTATGTAGACCAGGCTGGCCTGGAACTCATTATGTAGACCAGGTTGGCCTTGAACTTAGAGAGATCTGCCTGCCTCTGCCTCCCACGTGCTGGAATTAAAGGCCTGTGCCACCATGCCTGGCTACATTATGACAGATTTTAAAACTTCCTGTGTCTGCTATGAGGGAAGGATGAGGATGATTCTGGATATAAGTTAGTCTAAGCTGAACAGTGGGTCAGCAACAGGCAGGTTATAACTTCATAAAATGCTGCACACAGGTCAGCACCCATAATCAACCCTAGTATGTCACAGCATAGAGAATAACAACCTGGAAACCAGGCTGTTATACAGACCAACAGAACTCTCTCGTGGTCACATAAAGCAAGTATGAACAGTGCCTCTGCAAGATGTAGTCAGTTATCAAGGGTGACCTGTCAGGGTGGGGAGAATGAGAGTCAAAGGGGTAATGACTAAACCACTTCATTTTTTTTTTTTTTAAACAAGAAGCACTTTATTCTATAACCAGAAAATAAAAAAAGAAGGAACTTTAAGAAACTTAAAAGACCGATCTCTGTGAGTTCAAGGCCAGCATGGTCTACATAGCAAGTTCCAGGACAGCTGGGGCTGCAGGAAGACCCTGTCTCAAAAAGACCCCCCCCCAAAAAAAGGGCAATGCTACTGGGTATGGAGGTACACGCTTTAATCCCAGCACTTGGGAGGCAGAGGCAGGCAGATCTTTGTGCACTCCAGGCCAGCCTGGTCTACACAGTGAGTTCCAGACCAGCTGGGGCTACAGGGAGACCATCTCAAAAAGACAAAAAAAAAAAAAAAAAAAAAAAGCCAGGCATGGTGGCACATGCCTTTGACCCCAGCACTTGGGAGGCAGAGGCAGGCATATCTCTGTGAGTTCTAGACCAGCTGGGGCTACAGGGTAACCATCTAAAAAAGAAAAAAAAAAAAGAAAAAAAAAGGCAATGCTAAGCTAGGCATGGTGGCACATGCCTTTAATCTCAGAATTTGAGAGGCAAAAGGAAGGAGAATTCAAGTCCAGCCTGGGCTACATAGGAGACTTTGTCATACAAAAGTAATCAAACAAAGAGAAAGCTTTCTGGACACTCCAATGGAGAGGTGGAAAGTAGAACACACACTGCTCCCTAAAAAAATTCCCAGAGGTGAACCCTTGTACCCTTTACCCTTCAGGAGCCAAGAAACTTCCTACATTGCTCATCACCATTGGCATCCCTGTGGCTTGTTGCCCAACCACTAAGAACTATTAAATTAGCACAGACAGAACCTCTCACAGAACCTCAACTTTGGGTTATTTTAGTTCCTGATTGAAAAACAAAACTAGGGCTTCAGGGCTACATAGAGACTTCTACGCCAGCAGGAGCTACAGGGAGACCTTGTCTCAAAACAAAAAAAAAGAGGCTAGAGAGATGGCTTAGCAGTTAAGAGCACTGGCTGCTTTTACGGAGGACCCAGGTTTGAATCCCAACACCCATACAGTGGCTAACAATTGTCCATAACTACAGTTCCAGGGAATCGAACGCCCTCTTCTGACCTCCATGGGCATTGTACAACATAGGTGCACTTATATACCTGCAGGCAATACACTGATACACATAAAAATTTTTAAAATGTATTTAAAAAAAAAAAAACCCAAAGCCGGGCATGGTAGTGCACACCTTTAATCCCAGCACTTGGGAGGCAGAGGCAGGCGGATCTCTGAGCTCGAGGCCAGCCTGGTCTACATAGCCAGTTATAGGTCAGCTAGGGCTGACCAAAAAACCCCCAAAACCAAAAACCAAAAACAAATAACAAAAGATGATGATGTGAATAATGGAGCCCAGCTGCACGGACATCTTGATGATTTAACAAACAATCTCTTTGGATTCATTTCAGTCCCAATTCTAAGGGCTCCATTTGGTCACTATAGCTATAAATAGTCTCTCCTCAGGATAAATTCATGGCAATCTTTCTGTCTCAGCCTCCCTCGGCATACCCTTCTCTTAAGAGTATGAAAAGGACTGAAAGAATTTGGAGACCACAGCTCCACTACGAACTTACCTTTGTTCTCCCAGGACTGCCCGAGCACCAAAATATCTTTTCAGCTCTGTGTCTGGATTCAAGTGTCTAAGAGAAATTTAAAAATTTAGAAAGAAAAATCAAGTGTTTCTACAATGACTTAAAATTTTTTTTTGGTCTTTTTGAGACAGGGTCTCCCTGTAGCCCCAGCTGGCCTGGAACTCACTATTGTAGACCAGGCTGGCCTCCAACTCACAGAGATCTGTCTGCCTATGCATGCCCCCCCTTCCCCACTGAGTTTAGGGACTAAAGGCATGCTCTACCACACCCAGCATGACTCTAAAATTTTATAAAGCCACATAAGAATCAAGTAGGGAGTGGGATGTGGTGCTGCCTGCCTGTAAGCTCAGCACTTGGAAGGCTGAGGCAGAAGGATCCCAAATCCAAGGAGCCTTGGGTATATAGTGAGACCCAGTCTCAAAAAACTGTCAACAACCTCTAAGGTAGAGACCAGGTTTCACTAAGTATCTGTAAGACCAACAGATGGATGATGATCCAAATATGATCTATTACTTTACACAGTTCAAGAAATTAAGGTATTAAAAACTGGATGTGGTGGCACACCACAGGTGATCTCTGTGAGTTCAACGCCAGCCTGGTCTACACTGGGGCTACAGGGAGACCTTGTCTCAAAAAGAGCAAAAAAAAAAAAAAAAAAGAAAAAGAAATTAAGACATTATTAGGTAGAGCTAAAGTCCTATGGATGGATTTTTCTTCTCATTATTTCTTAACTGTTTAATAATAAGCTTGATTTGTTTGTGAGGTAGGGTTTCATTCTGTAGCCCAGGCAGACCTCGAATTCATGGCAATCTTCCTGCCCCGGCCTACCAAGTACTAGGATTACAGCTATGAATCACCATTTTATATATATATAAAACAGTACATTTTTTCTTTCTTTCTTTTTTGAGATGGTCTTATGCAGTCCAGGCTGGCTCTGAACTCCCAATCCTCCCACCTCCACTTCCCAAGTGTTGGTATTATAGGTCTGTGCTACTAGGCCTGGCTATAAAAAAAGAAAGTAAACATTCTTCTTTTTTAAAATAATGTTTTTCTCCCATGCAGTGAGGGCAGGGCTGTACCTGTGCTCCACATATAGGACATGCTTCCTGGAGCTCAGTGGAGGAGGGCCTGGACGGTTGAATCCACCACTGTCCTCAATCCTCTCTAAGATGCGATCAATATCTTCTAGCCCATTTTCCTAAAAGCCAAAAACAACCTGTTAATCACTATACTGACTTTTGACCACTAGGATTCTAGGCATGCACCACTATACCTGGCTCTAACTTTACGTTCAATGTACCAGCAGAATGATTTATTTTGAAAAAGAATGATTATATCATATTTATTTCCTAAAAGTCATATGCTGCACATACATTCAGAAAGGAGATGTCTCACTAGAGAAAGCTCAGAATAGCTGGAATTATAGACTCAGAGGGCCCTGGAAGTCACAGGCCAGAAGATCACATTTCACTTCTTCCAGGAAGAGTTTACCTCCTCAGGTAAGTGGCAACATGACTCCTCACTGGATAGTAACAAACAGTAAGATAAGGGGCAAGGGGCACCAATAGGAATGTGATGATGACTGGTGCATGGTGGCTTCTATACCCACCACCTAGTTAAGCCATCAGAGTAAGAGAAAGGTAACACAAGCAGGAAACAGAACTGGGAGGGACACTCACCTCAGACCATAGAACCCAGGGGTGGGGTCTGACCACCAAGAAGCAAAGGGCAAAAGCCAGAAGTAAGATCTGTAATTTTCCCTTTCTTTCCCTGACCGCTCAGCTACACTTCCAGTGGGAAGGAATCAAAGTGTCCAATAAAATCAAACTTTCTCCAGGACCAGCCTGAGGAACTAGCAGAAAACAGAGAGGCTCAGGCAGAGGGACCAGCCAGTCTGAGAACATACCGAGGATTCTCCTGTGCAGCTTTTCTTATTTTTCTGCTTCTTTTTCTTCTTTCGGAGTTTGCCACTTGCATTAGACTAATGAAAGGAGACATTTTAATCAATGGAAAGAGAAATAATCTTTAGCATTAAGAACTAAGCAACAAGCTGGGTATGGTGGTGCATGCCTTTAATCCTAGCACTGGTAAAACAGAGGCAGGCGGATCTCTGTGAGTTCCAAGCCAGCAAGAGCTACTAGTGAGACCCTGTCTCAACAAAAAGAGCTAAGACAAGTGTGGTGGCACATGCCTTTAATCCTAGCACTCAGGGGGCAGAGGCAGGTGGATCTCCATGAGTTCAAGGCCAGCCAGGTCTACAGAGTGAGTTCCAGGCCAGCTGGGGTTACAGGGAAACTCTATCTCCAAAAGACAAACCAAACCAAAACAAAACAAAAAAGAACTAAGCAACAAGTTCAATACTCCATGTGGCAGTCCCTATCCTTCCTTCTACAGTCTCAATGAGTCTTCAACTCATTTCCTTTTGCCCAATAAGAGATACTTCCTTTGGTTTTCCCCAATGACACTGGTGAGCACAGCCTCTCTCATACTCCTATGTATTTCAGGGTTTCCTATGGCCTATAGTGGGTTTAGCTCAGAGGACCATCCAGCCACCTGCCCATTGACATTCACTCTTCATTTTGCCAATCACTCTCTGTTATGCTCCACCCACCCTTAAGATGGGGACTCACTATGCCAGGATGCCTCCATATTGAGCCCTACCCTGTTCTCCCCCAACATCTACTCTCACCAACTCCTTCTGTAAGAACCCAGACTTTGTAAGAGGCTGCATGCTCTGAGTAGGTACAGACATTCCTAAAGTATAACAGGCAGGCAGCCCTCTATATGGTACCCATGAGGCTATCATCAGCCTTAAAATTTCCACACAAACCTCTTCTGGGCTCCTAAGGGCAATCAACCAACTGACAAAGTCAAACTTAGAGAATTCCTTCAAGAAACTGGAAGTACAGGGTGTGTGGCTGGCACCTCAGTTATCCCATTACCATGTGACACCCCCCCCCCCCCCCCC